AAATGGAAATCCAGTGCTTATTATTATTATTATTTATTAATCCTCATCCAAGTATATTTTTTTACATTGATTTTTTTTGAGAGAATAGAAGGCAGGAAGATAGAGATAGAGATAAGATAGAGAGAAACATTGATGTGAGAGAGAAACAGCGATTGGTTTAGCTGCCTTCTATACACGCCCTACCTGTGGATCTATGGAGGAAGTGGGTGTATGGGTGGCAAGCCTCATACTAACCTGACAAGCTCAGAGAAGGCCTGCATGGTGGTTTTGTAAACTCAAAGACCTAAAGTAACCACAAAGGATGGTCTGAAATTAAAAATTTAACTAAAAGCAGCTTATAGTAGGTACTCATTTCCTAGGCCAGTATTTTCCCTGACAAAGACTAACTTTCAATCTTCACCGAGCCCATTGTCTTTCTGCATCTAAGATAACATACCTGTGAAATGTCTGCGTAACTTGTAACTTCCCTTTTTCAGGATCCCCCAGGGTGCTACGAATGACATCAGGGTGGGGACTACAAATTCCCTCATTGTTCTTGTTATCATGTTAATTGTTGACTGTTAACTATCCTGTATCCACCTATGTAAAATAAGCATGTGTTCATCATTTCACTTTTTATCCAATCCCAGAGGGTTCCCTGCTTTGCTTTCTCCCACCTCCCTAATCTATCACCAATGGATTTCATGTAACCCACTTATGTCTCCTCCTTTGTTTATAAAAACAAGGTGAAAACCCGCCATTCTCCAGAGCATTATCCCAATACGTTGAGGTTTTTCTTCCAAGCAATTGTCGACAGTTTGGCTCAAATAAACTTAAACTCACAAGAATTATTTACAGGTTTGAATTTTTATTTTATTTTTTTAAATTTTTTACGTCAACAGATATTGAACCTGCAACCCAGGTAGGTGCCCTTGACTGGGAATAGAATTCTCGACCTTTTGGTGCACATGCTAATGCTCTAACCACTTAGCAACAATGGCCAGGGCTCCAATGTTTATTAATAAATACAACAGAATGTTACATTTGATATTTCTAATAAATATCTCAATTATTCATTAAAGAATACAAGAGCTTGGCTGATGTTGCTCAGTGGTTGAGCATCCAACTATGAACCAAGAGGTCACAGTTTGATTCCCAATCAGGGCACATGTCTGGGTTGCAGGCTTGACTCCCAGTGGGGTTGTATAGGAGTCAGCCAATTAATGATTCTCTCTCATCATTGATGTTTCTCTCTCCTTCCTTCCTCTCTGAAATCAATAAAAATATATTAAAAAAATTACAAGAGCATTGAAGCACACTTTCGAGAGCAAGGCTGATGGAGACCCCTTTCCCTGGGAAGACAACCCTCTCACCCCAGCATTGGTCTCTGCTGTGTCCTGGTTTTGGGTTTGTCAGCACCAGACAGAGAGCCCCACAGGCCCCAAACTGGGGATTATTTCTGTTTGTGACACTCAACCCAGCTGGGCACTGGGTCTTCCCTGTCTTCTCAAATGCTCTGGGAAGGTTGGATTTCCTCCCAGCAGGAAGGCCACAGAGAAGATTCTGGGGGTGGGTAGGGGGCAAGCTGGGTGATGACTGAAGAGGTGACCTACCTTCTCTCCAGGAGTCACCAGCTTGTCTTCTACTTCCAGGGATGGAGACCCAGGACTGGGTGTCCCAGAAGGACCTACAGTTCCAGGGTGTCCTGGGAATAAAGGTGTTGGTGGGAGGTCAGGTGGCTGGGGCTCCCTGGTCCATAGGGGACAATTTCAGGGAGACCCTTCTCTCTGTGTGTCTGTTGGCTGAGACTGTCCATATACTCCCTGACCATTGGGGCAGCCTTTGCCTGCTGCCTAAGGGAGTTTCCTGTGTTAACCCCACCTTGCCCATGGGTGGTGCCAGGCAGGGAGTGGGGAGCAGCACAGGGACCGCTGGCAGAGCAATTGCTCCCAGGCCCCTAGAAGGAGCAGGCGGGACAGAGTAGACATGTGGGAGGGGGCCAGAAGGGTCTGTGGTATGGAAATCAGGCTCTTTTTCCACTCCTGAGCCAAAATCTTATTATGTGTTAATTTCATATGTGTCTCAATGTTGCCACCTGGAGGGCAAAAGGAGACCCGTGGCCAGTGTCAGGGGCTGCATGGTGGAAGCTGACCTGGCTCCAGAGGATGGGAGCTGACCTGAACCCTGGACAGAGATGGGCTCTGACCTGAAGGCTGAGGGGCCATTCACCCCAGGTTCCGGTCACTATGGGTCTAAGGCTGCCCAGCTTCATCCCAGGGTAGCGTGAGCCCAGTGAGAGGACAGGCAATGTCCAGAGGCATCCTGATTCAGTGTCAGGTGAACTGTCTCTCCCCCACCAAGGGGATGTGTTGTCTTAGAGGAGCTCTTTGTCCCCAAGGTTTCAAATGAAGGGCCAAGTGAGGGTTCTCTTGAGTGTTTCTAGAGAGGGCATCAGCCTGTGGGGCTGGTCCATAGATTGCCCTGTGGCACTGCATCCAACTCATCTGTGTCCCTGTCTGTCATCTGCTCTAGTCCTTTCTACAGGGCCAAGGAGCTGGAGAAGCTCCACATGGAGACTCAGCCAGGGGATGGGGAGGCCCTATGGGACCCTCTGCTCCTCTGAGATGGAAGCAACCACAGATTCTGGGTTCTCTTGTCCCATCCTACATGGGAAGTTCCCCTTGTTCCCCAGACATCATGAGCTGGCTGGTGAGATGTTTTCTGGAGACCCCCAGGGACTTGTGGATGGGGAGTTGTCCCCTGATTCCTTTGTGGTCATGATGGACTCTCTTCTTCCCTAGTCCTGACTCCATCTGGGGTGAAGAAGACAGAGTTTTCACCATGCCACGTCTCTGTAAGAAGAGAAAGGACTCTTCTGCCTAGCTCCTCCCCCAGAAGAAGTCATTCACTGGCTGTGGTTTTCTGGGAATGAAGGGGGTTCCACCCCTCACTGTTAGGAGGTCCCTATCCTTTGCGATGACTCTACAAAGGGTAAAGGCCTGTCCGTGAGACAGCCATGGGCATTTGGTGACCTCTTCCCATGCTGAAACCAATACCTTTGTGTTTATAAGGAACATACTCCAACCCTGGGTGTTGCATGTGGTGACAGAAGTCTGTTGTGTGGCTTCCTCATCCATTTAATGAGCACTTAAAAAAACACATACACATTTTTATTGATTTCAGAGAGGAAGGGTGAGAAACAGAGAGAGAAAGAGAGAGAGAGAGAGAGAGAGAGAGAGAGAGAGAGAGAGACATCAATGATGAGAGAGAATCATTGATTGGCTGCCTCCTGCATGTCCCCTACCAGGGATCGAGTCTGCAACCTGGGCATGTGCCCTGACCGGGAATCAAACTGTGACCTCCTGGTTCATAGGTTGACGCTCAACCACCGAGCCATGCTGACTGGGCCATTTAATGAGTATTTACTGAGCATCTACGTGTCAGGCCCTATGTTGGTTCCTAGGAACACAGAGAGCAGGACATACATGGGCTTCTGTGGATAGCCTCAGCGAGGGGCCTTCCCTGTTCCCATTCTAGGCAGCTGGCCCTGTGTTGGCTGCACGAGCACACTAGCCCCTGGCCCCTGTGAGAAAAGGAAGGATGGAGCTGAGATTGGCGCTCTCCAAGGTTCTGCACTTTATGGACAGCTTGAGAGTTAAGAGCCTTGATGTGTCAATGGAATCATTGTTACATCTCCTGGTGGAAGAATTTCTCCTTTGGAACTAAGACCTCTAGGCCAGCAGAGCATAATGTGTTGGGAACAGGGAGAAGAAAATTTACTGGCAGATTATTAGAGGTAATGATGAGTGGTGTCACTTCCATTTCCCTCCATTGATTCCTAGGTCTGTGTTTCCTGGCTATGGGAGAAACATCATCACATATTCAGAGAATATATGGCTCCCTGGAATACCTTCCCGCAGCCTGCAAGATGTTGTCACCTATCTGGTGCTGTCCCTGAGTTTCCAAAAGGCCATTCCACTTTTCTATCAAGCCAGCTGCTTCAGGATGGTAAAAGCAGTGAATTCCATGGCCATGTACC